CAGATTTATTACAAAACAAAGATTAAAACAAAGTCTTTATATGTCAACAAATGGAAACTTTGTTTTCAATTAAGTATCTGTAACTGTTTCTATGTAATTTATTCTATTCCAAATACGCAAATATGTTTAAGACTGTAAGGTCTCTAAGCATTTTTTTTTTTAACTCAAGAACTGATGTTATATTTTCATGAACCTTAACTCTCTAGTGTTTTTGCTTCTCCGGAGGTCAGTTTCCTAATTTTATCAGTAAGGAAAGATTCCCATGGATTGGCACTCAGCATCCATTCACCACCTTTCCTGTGCAGAGACTGGGAGCTGATAAAATGTTCCAGAGAGCTTTGAGTGCGAGAGGGAATTTGGCAAGTTATAATCAGGTGCATGCTGGGAAGCTCTGGAAGGTAGGGGGGTGGTGAAAGCTGTTTCTGCTATTTTTGCTGTTCTGATAGTAAGCACAGTTCTGCAGGTGTCAGATTTTTCGGTGCCAGATACCAGGTGTCTGGTCAAGAGGGGTCTGAGGGGCTGGGGGGCAGGGGGCAGTGTCCGTGTTCTGTCGGCATAGACCGGGCAGGCATGGTTGAGCTGGAGCTAACCGCGAGGATTGGGGTGTCTTTGCAGCCAACAGCTTTCAGGTGTCTTTCTGGTGCCGCAGCTTCTTGACTGTGCACAAGCGACAGCTCTTTTGTTCTGGTAGTTAGGCTGGATGTGGCCTTCGGTCATTTGGAAGCTCTGAATTCCCTATACTAAATCTTGTCCCATGTGGCCATCCGGAAGGGCACACAGGCACAGAATAGGAAAGGCAGAGATGAACCACAGGACCTCTGGGGTCCTGAGGGGGAAGTAGGCAGTGGGGCATGAAAGGGCATTTGCTGGGCCACGGACAAGTTGAATAGAATGTTCCCAGCGGGGGCTCCTGAAGAACCAAAGGAAGAGCTTCAAACACCTGCCAGGTCCAGAGGGCAGAAACAACCGCTTGGGCAGGTACCAGTGAAGGACTGTTTCTGCTCTCTTCTATTTTGGCCTAGAAAGGGTCAGGAACTAGTCTGCAAGCTTGGGGAGCTCAGAAACATCAGGTGGGGGGAACAGAAGAGAAACTTATTGCTTCCTCACGCCCCTTTATGTGCACGCAAACACACACACTCACACAGAGCCTCTATCAGGTGCTGTCTGAGGGAGGAGAGAGGATTAACTTTAAATCAAATTCAAGATGGGGCGCCTGGTGGCTCAGTTAAGCATCTCACTCTTTATTTTGGTTCAGGTTCTGATCTCAGGGTTGGGGGGGGCTCCTAAGATCGCGCTCTGTGCTCAGTGGGGAGCCTGCTTGAGGTTCTCTCTCTCCCTCTGCCCCTCCCTCTCTCTCTCTCTAAATAAATGGATAAAATCTTAAAAAAAAATCAAGTTCAAGGCTCTGAGTATTACATGGAGTTGAGCATTGTAAGATTTAAAATTATTTTAAATCAAGGGGCACCTGGCTGACTCAGTCTGTGAAGCATGCAATTCTTGATCTCAGGGTCATGAATTCAAGCCCCATGCAGGGCATGAACCCTACTTAATAAATAAATAAAATTATATAAAGCAAGACCGTGTTTGCAACTTTGGAACTTTTTATTACCACAGTGTGATTAAAAAAATTAGAAGGCTAAGTTTTTACCCAGGAGCAAGGGAAGCACTTTCCACACGGAATAACTTCTTTTTTCTTTTTTTTAAAGATTTTATTTATTTGAGAGAGAGAGAGAGAAAGAGCATGAGCGGGGGGTAGGCAGAGGGAGAGGGAGAAGGAGACTTCCCACTGAGCAGGGAGGCCAACATGGGGCTCCATCTCAGGACCCCGAGACCATCATCTGAGCCAAAATCAAGAGTCGGCTGTTTAACTGACAGAGACACCCAGGAGCCCCCAAACCGTAAGAGACTCTTTTTTTTCTCTTTAAATTTTTTATTGTTATGTTAATCACCATACATTACATCATTAGTTTTTTTGATGTAGTGTTCCATGATTCATTGTTTGTGCATAACACCCAGTGCTCCAGGCAGAACGTACCCTCTTTAATACCCATCACCAGGCTAACCCATCCCCCCCCCCCCCCCCCCTCTCGACCACCCTCTGTTTGTTTCCTGAGATTAAGAATTCCTCCTATCAGTGAGGTCATATGATACATGTCTTTCTCTGATTGACTTATTTCACTCAGCATAACACCCTCCAGTTCCATCCACGTCGGTGCAAATGGCAAGATCTCATTCCTTTTGATGGCTGCATAATATTCCATTGTGTATATATACCACATCTTCTTTATCCATTCATCCGTCGATGGACATCTTGGCTCTTTCCACAGTTTGGCTATTGTGGACATCGCTGCTATAAACATCAGGGTGCACATACCCCTTCGGATCCCTACATTTGTATCTTTGGGGTAAATACCCAGTAGTGCAATTCCTGGATCATATGGTAGCTCTATTTTCAACTTTTTGAGGAACCACCATACTGTTTTCCAGAGTGGTTGCACCAGCTTGCATTCCCACCAACAGTGTAGGACGGTTCCCCTTTCTCCGCATCCCCGCCAACATCTGTCGTTTCCTGACTTGTTAATTTTAGCCATTCTGACGGGTGTGAGGTGATATCTCCTTGAGGTTTTGATTTGGATTTCCCTGATGCCGAGCGATGTTGAGCACTTTTTCATGTGTCTGTTGGCCATTTGGATGTCTTCTTTGGAAAAATGTCTGTTCATGCCGTAAGAGACTCTTAAGGATAGAGAAAAAACGGAGGGTTGATGGAGGGAGGTGGGTGGGGGATAGGCTAGATGAGTGATGATGATTAAGGAGGGCACTTGATGTGATGAGCACGGGGTGTTGTATATAAGTGATGAACCACTGAATTCTCCTCCTGAAACCAATATTGCACTGTATGTTAACTAATTAGAATTTATTTTTTTAAGATTTTATTTACTTATTGGACAGACAGAGACACAGCAAGAGAGGGAACACAGCAGGGGGAGTGGGAGAGGGAGAAGCAGGCTTCCGGCTGAGCAGAATCCTGGGATCATGACCTGAGCCGAAGGCAGATGCTTAATGACTGAGCCATCCAGGCACCCCTAACTAGAATTTAAATAAAAATTTGAAGAAAAAAAATGTGATATTTGAATAGTATTTTATATGGACAAAAACCACACTTTTGGTCCCTTGCACACTGTTTCTATTTGATATGCAGTCTGCGGGGGGAGGGGACTTTCTGAAGTCAGTTTTTTGTTTTTTTTAAGTAATCTCTAAACACCCAATGTGGGGCTAGAACTCACCACCCCAAGATCAAGAGTTGCGTGCTTCACCGACTGAGCCAGCCAAGCACCTCTGAAGCCAGTTTTATACACAGAAAAAGGACGTTAAGACCTCTTACATATATATATATATATATATAAATTAATACTTACTTTAGTTACAAATCCACAAATCTAGCTCCCCTTAACCTTTGTTTTATTCTATTTACAAATCTAATTACTTTTATTTACAAATTTAATAAAATTTAACTATTACTGTAAGGGGGAATTTCACCATTCACTTAACTTAATTATCTTAAACATTTTAGATGACTTTTACAAACTTAATATATTCAATTTTCTTTTCAGGTATTTCAACTATGTACAAGGCTATGTAATTCTTACAAATATAGTAAATTAAGTTTATTTTTATATTCCTTTCAATTTAAACTTATAATTCTAAATCAGTTACTTGATCATACATTTTAAGTTGGAATCATAAAACTAATATTTGTATATTCAGATAAGCTAAATCGTAAATATTTTATGTACTTATAGCAACATAGCCAAAGCATTCTTAAATGTATCATGCACTTTAATAGTATTAAAATATTAATGAAATTAATAACCCTTATTATTTTATACTTAACTCTTAGTTTCCAAAATTAAAAAGATATTTACTGGCATAGAGAGCGCCTCGGTGGCTTAGTCGGTTAAGCCTGGGATTCATGATCTCAATCCAGGTCTTGGTCTCAGGGTAGAGAGTTCAAGGCCCCTCTTGGGCTCCACACCGTGCATAGAACCTACCTAAAAAAAAGAGAGAGATTTACCCGCATAAGACAATAAGGCATCCCCTAGAAGGTTAAGATTCACCATGAACCAAGAGATGTATATATCTACCAGTGATGTTGCTGAAAACCTGACTGTGATGATTACATCACATGCCCTATTCTTGGGCCAGAACTTAGCTTGACCAGCCCCGCTGGTTTGCTCCACTTCCTCACTGTGAGTCAGGCTGAGATGGACACGCCGGCCTCAGTAAGCTTGGTGTTTCTAAGATTTTATTTACTTATTTTCTAGAGAAAGAGAGCACGCGCAAGCATGGGGAGGAGCAGAGGCAGAGGGACAAGCCAACTCGGGGCTGAGCGCTGACTTGGGGCCGGATCTCAAGACCCTGAGATACTGACCTCAGCCAAAACCAAGAGTCCTTCCCTCAACCGACTGAGCCACCCAGGCGCCCCAGAGCTTTGTGTCTCTGACTGTATCCTTAGGATAGCTGTCTAGAAACGTATGGCCCTTTTTCAGGACACTTGATGAATATTTTCTGATTGCCTTCCCAAAAGTGTGTCACTGGCGTGCATTCCATGAATATTGCGTTATCACGACCGTCCCACCACATTCTCCGCGGCACCGAGTATAATCTTTACTGTTACTATTATCATCATCATCATCGCCTCTGCCAATTTGAGCGTGGCAAATGACGCCTCGTTATTTGGGGTTCATTTATTCCGTTGCAAGTGCGGCTGAACGTGTTTCGTACGTTCACTGGGCACGCAGCTTTCGCGGTGTCCCCCGCCTTGGCCGCCAGGTAGGATGCAGGTAGGTGGGGCTGAGCGCGCAATTCCGGGCCCCGCGGCCAGGGGGCGCTGCCACCCAATTTCCCCACCCCCACCCCTCTACCCACGCCCCGTCCGGGCTGGGGCGGGCAGGGGGGCGGGCAAGCGGGGCCGCAGGCGCAGGCGCGGGCGGGGCGCTAAGGTTGGCGTCCTGTCGCCCCGACCTTCGCCAGCGGGGCAGTAGCATCATGACGGTGGGAGCCAGGCTCCGAAGCAAGGCGGCGAGTGGTTTCCTGCGCCGCGGGCCCCGGGGGCGAGCGCGGGCGGAGGGGGACGAGGAGGCGGCCGCCCTCCTGGAGCCGCCGGAGCGCGGGGACGAGGCGGCGAGCGGGGCGAGCGCGGGGCGCCCGGGGGCCCGCAGCGCGCGCACGGTGCACCTGGCAGTCCTCCCCGAGCGCTACGAGCCGCTGGACGAGCCGGCCGCGGGCGAGAAGCCCAAGAGGAGGTACCGGCAGAAGCTGAAGAAGTACGGCAAGGTAGGGCCCCACGCCTGCCACCGCCCGCGGGCTTGGGGTGCGGGCGGCCCGACCCCCCGCTTCCTGGCCGATCGCCCGGAGGGCGGCGGTAGGGTCCCCACCGGCCGGCTGCGCGCAGCTTCTCTGGGCTGCCCCTGCGTCCCCTGGCCAGCATTCGTTAACAGACACCGAAGAGGGTTCCGTCTGTCGACTGGGAGGTGAAGGAAAACTAAATCGCAAGTAACGACAGGAGCCAAACCGGAGCTTTGCGGCGGGGGAGGGGGCACCAATCCACCCGCCCCTCTGGGGCTGGCCGCTTGGTCACATTCCCAGCAAGTCCCAGCATTCCCCGTGGTTCTCATCCTGGTGTGTCTTACACTCCCTTGCACAGTTGGTAGGACAGAAATCCGTGTCCCTGTTTTACAGATGGGAATACTGAGGCATTTGAGTGGTTAGGTGACTTACAGAAGGTGACCCAGTTGGAAAGTAGGGAGCTGCCGGCCAATTCGTCTGTTCTCCGGCAACATCCTCTCCGGGATATGCCACCAGCTGAGAACCGTTCGGTTATTCTCCTCAGGCATTCCCAAGGTTATGTCCAGGGCCTGGGAGCTCAACAATACATAAATAGGCACTTGTTGAATCTACTTTTCTCTTCCCCCAGCTGGCTATCCGTGTACTCCGGGACCCGCAGACATACTACTGCCTTTTGCCTTGGGGGCTGGGGGGCAGAGGAAAGAGGAGAGACAGGAGGAGAGAGAGAGAGAATCTGAATATGGGGTAAAATGACAGTGTCCTTCTCAGAGATCAAAGCCCAAGGCAGTGCCCAGGTGCCTCTCCCTGGGATCACTTGAAGCTACTTCTGCCCCAGCCCCTTGGGGCTGGACAAGGCCACCCAGAAGATCATCATCAAACTCACTGTGTCCTGGCCAAAGGCCCCATCTGATTCACGGTCTCATTATCTGTGTCCTCGAGTGGCCTCTTAGCCGATCTAAAACCATCTGGTCTCTGCTCCTAGAAACTTCGGTGTATCATCTCCTGTAAAAGCCCGTCAGCGGCTTTGGGCCCAGCGTAGGGGCAGGCAGTGAGTGGTACAGGATATTACTAAAAACTCTGAGGTCAGGACTCTCAGGCTCAGAGTCCTGCTAGAACTGATTACCCGCTTCCTGGTCTCAGTTGAGCACAAAGAAACCACCACTGGCTTCTCAGTGGGCGAACGGATACTGTACATCTCAGGTCAGGCTGGCACCTGAAGATGGTTTTTGGGTGCTCATTTCATGCAGGGATTGTGCTAACCACTAGAGATCAGAAACCAGATATAGTGCGGTCCTGCCCTAGTGAAGTCCATGCCTGCCAGGGAAATCCCGACCTGGCAGAGTCGGGGCGCCACCACGGAGCCTCATGGTACAGAGTCCTCAGGGATGAGGCTGTAAAGTCAGGGACAGTTTGAAATCAATGGTGACATGAGAACTTGGCAGAGAAGATTGAGGTCTCACAGGTTAACGAGGTACCACCTCACACTCACTAGGATGGCTATTACTTAAAAAACAAAGAACAAAAAAAAAAAATAGCAAATGTTGGCAAGGATGTGGAGAAATTAGAATTATGCAAATTGCTAATGGAAATGTAAAATGGTGCGACTGCTGTGGGAAACAGTTTGGAGGTTCTTCCAAAAATTAAGCATAGAACTACCATATGATTCAGCAATTCAGCTCCTAGGTATATACCCAAAATAATTGAAAATAAGTACTGAAATATACATATATATATATTTGAGAGAGAGAACATATTCACATGTTCGTTGCAGCATTATTCAAAATAGCCAAAAAGTGGAAACAACTGATAAATGATAAACAAAATGTGGTGTATACATATGGTGAAATATTACTCAGTCATTAAAAGGAATGAAGTACCATTACGGGCCACAGCGTGGATATGATGGAGGCTGGCTGGAGGGTCCTTGGCTCCGTGCAGGATGGCACTCAGAACTCGAGCCAAGAGGAAGTGAAAGCAGAGTTTATTGAAGACACAGAGAATATAGATACAGAGTGTCTTGGAGACCTGGAAAGAAAAGTGAGTCTCATCTGGGCATGGGGTTTTTACTGAGACCTGGCGTTTTTACTGAGGATAATGGGCTGGTGCAAGTGTCTTCTCAGGCATCTAGGAACAAAGACGAGTGTTGAGGTGTCCTTCATAAGTCATTTAGGCCCTGGAGCCAGGGATCTTGATGAGTCAGCGGTCTGGGAACCACCCTGCCTGGTCACTCCTTAGATGTTACTTATTGTGCTGGGAGCCTCCAAAGCAATTATTAAATCCTTGACCTTTACATGGAGAACATACAGTATCTGTTTGTTTTTTTTTTTTTAAAGATTTTATTTATTTATTTGAGAGAGAGAGAATGAGAGATAGAGAGCACGAGAGGGAAGAGGGTCAGAGGGAGAAGCAGACTCCCTGCCGAGCAGGGAGCCCGATGTGGGACTCGATCCCGGGACTCCAGGATCATGACCTGAGCCGAAGGCAGTCGCTTAACCAACTGAGCCACCCAGGCGCCCCTACAGTATCTGTTCTATAAGGTGTGTGAAGGGCTACAGTCTAGGTCCTGGCCAAAATAGAAGCAGGAAAAAAAGCAGTTTTTAATGGGGTCCCTTTAGTTTCCCTGTCTCAGATGAACCTCGAAAACATTATGCTAAGTGGAAAAAACCAGACACACGGGATCACGTACTGTATGCGGGTATGATTCCGTTTCTATAGAATATCTAAAATAGGTAAATGCAGAGAGAGGGAAGCAGATGGGTGGTTGCCAGGGACTGGGGAGAAGGAAAAAGGGGGGGGGCAAGTGTGTAACAGGTGCAGCTCTTCTTTTGGTGATGGTGAAGATGTTTTGGAAGTAGGTAGAGGTGCTGGTCGCATGACACCGCCAATGTACTAGATGCTACCGAATTTTTCGCTTTAAAATGGTTAATTTTTATGGCAGCAAAAGCTTGGTTGTGTCTCACCCTAGCTCATGGACACCGGAAGCCATATGAGAGGACACTGTCCAGTTAGGGTTGGATGTGCCCTCTCCGTCCTCAACTTCCCACCTTCTTGGAGGTGTCTGGGAAGGTAACCAGTTAGGTGCCAACATGGAGGAATAGAGGAGCCCTCCCCTCTGCTGAAAATGTACGGCAACAGCCAAGCCTCCGCTAGAGGTGTGGGGAGGTAAGTCTCCAGGCTTTAGCCAGCATGTGAGTCTTTCCTTTTCCTGGGCCCAGTGGAATAAGGAGGGACCTGTGGGCAAGCCACATTGTTGTTGGTTGTTGTTTTTTTTTTTTTTTTTAAGATTCTTATTTATTTATTTATTTGACAGAGAGACACAGCGAGAGAGAGGGAACACAAGCAGGGGCAGAGGGAGAGGGAGAAGCAGACCCCCCGCCGAGCAGGGAGCCCGATGCGGGGCTTGATCGCAGGACCCTGGGATCATGACCCGAGCCGAAGGCAGACGCTTAACGACTGAGCCACCCAGGCGCCCCCGGACGCGCCACATTGTCAATGGATGGCTTTTCCTTCAAGGAAGGGGGCTTGGCAGTTCCTAATCATCTGTTCACCGCTCAAGCCCTGCACCCGAGTGTCTTCCTGCTTCTGTTTAAAGAGAAGCATTGGGCCTTTGTGACATGCGAAAGGGTTTCTTCTCTCCTGCTGCCCTGGGGTCCCAGCCAGGCGCGGGCCCCAGTGTCCAGCTGGTCCAGCCTCTCAAAGGAGGCTCGGGGCTCGGGGCTCAGGGGCTGTGTGCCTGGACTCTTGCCCAGCAGCGTTCCCTGGTCATTTGTAAGTAATGATGCTCGTGTTCACGTGGTGCTTTCGTTGTTAGGAAAGGGCCATTTTCTGGGTCCAGGCGAGGGGAAGGAACAGATGTTTGTTGTTCTGCTGCAGCATGCCAAGAGCTCTGCTGCGCGTTTCATGGGTGAGACCCCTGAGTCATGCCCAGAACTTTGGAAAGCGGGGGGCCCCCCACCATTTTGCAGCGGTGGAAGCTGGAGTTTAAGGAAGGTGTGCGGTGCGAGGCCGTACAGCTGGAGGGTAGCCAAGCTGGGAGGCAGGAGTCTCACCTGGCAGTTGGGTTGAGGGGACTAACCCCCAAAACTTAAGATGAGAGGTCGCCTTTCCCAGGCACCCCTGAGAGCCGCAGGAGGGGTGTGGATGAGGAAAGTAAGTACATTTTGTCCATCAGGCAGCTGGGAGAGGGTCGGAGGGGGTAATACAATGTGTGGAGTAGCCTTTAGCTCAAGAGGGAGAAAAATTGTCCTCATGCTGGAGGGTGGCAGCAGGTAAGGACAGGGGCACCGGAGCCCGGCTGCCAGGCTCAAGCCCTGCCCTGCGCCCTGTAGGTTTGGTGACCTTGGGCTGGGCCCACCACTTCGCCTCAGTTTCCTTATGAGTGACATGGGGTAAATCGAGGGTTATGGGCAAGAGTAAATGCCCTCCCCGCAGAGATCTCCGAGCTTGCCTGGCAGGTGGCAAAGCTTTTGTGACTGTTGGCTGCTGGCTCAGGGTGAAGGAGAGACCCTGTAGGACTGTTGACTTTCTGACTCGTTTTTAATCAGAACACAGTAACTCAGAAAAAAACCTCCGTCTGTAGCTGATCGCCTGGCTCAGCGTTGTGCCTCGGTCCTCACCACATTTCAAAAAACTGAAGACTCGATCTTCATATTCAGGGGAAAGTGATCTTCGTTGGCAGCCGGGTTTTTGTTTTTGTTTTTGTTTGTTTGGGTTTTTTTTTTTTTTTTTTTTGAAACTGGAGGGGGCAGGGAATCCCTGACTTCCCTGGGGGTTAGTTGAATCCAGAGAACCCCCAGAAAGTGTGGCATCCTTGGACAGCTGTAATAGATCACCACCAACGTGGTGGTTTAGGACCAACACCAGCTGTACAGGTCTGGAGGCCAGAAGTCCGAAATCAGTGTCACTGTGCTAAGGTCCGCAGGCTGGTTCCCCTGGAGGCCCCAGGGAAAAACCAGTTACGATGCTCTTTCCAGCTTCCAGGGTCCCCATCCTCCCGTATCCCAGCCAGCAGTGCAGGTCCACAGATCTCTGTGTCGTGACATTGCCTTCTGTGTGACCCCTGTGTCCCTCTTAACAAGGACGGTGGTCCTCCTTTGGGTCCTTATAATTATGTAGTGGCCCTTATAATGATTGGCCCCACCTGGATAATCCAGGACCATCTCCCCCATCTTAAGATCCTTAATTTAATCACATCTGCAAAATCCCTTTGACCCTATAAAGCCACATATTTACAGGTTCTTGGGACCGGGGGGCATTCTTCAGCCTACTCGCTCCCCTGGGTCCCCCATGCCTCACTGCTTCTCCAAGAGATTATTTGGGTTGAAAATAATGTGGTTGTGGTTGACCCACATCAAAGAATACAAAACCTCCCTCAAATGACACTGAAATGGTCATCAATAGCTATTTTACATTTCTTTGTATCACTTTTCTCGAACCTGTGTTTTGACAGTATTCCAGCTAATGAGGTATTTTAGTAGCTTTTTTCTAAATGGCAAAGATGAAGCGACGAGCAGTTTTTGCAAATAGCACGCTGAGGAAAGTGGATGTCCAAGGGCCAAAAATGTCAAGTTTAGTGCAGGCCATCTGTGATTCTGGTTGGCATTGCTTATAAAGGACCGTAAAGGACTGTTACACTTGCTCCCAGAGAACAGTCTTTTTGTTACTGTTATTTCAGGGAGGGAAGTAAAATTCTCCCACTGGATCTTATTATACATTTAAGGAGATGTCTCTCAGCAACCTCATGCCACCCTCCACCCCACGCATGTACCCTAATGTCTCACTGAGAAGTCAATGGGCACAATGCCAGGAGTCCGTGTCTAGAGAAGCCGTAGATGTTACCTGGCTCTTTCCCGGGGCTCCTTATGGAGGCTTCGAGGTTCCAAAGGAAAGATCTGGGCCTTTTCTGGGTGCTGGGGCTACAGCAAGGAGCACAAGAAAGCCCCTTCATCTGGGAGAGAGGGAAGGTCAGCTTGCTAGACAGACAGACCAGGTTTGCCAGGCAGCGCTGGCCCTGAGCTTTGTGATTGTGATCAGGGGTTTTGAGTGAAACCAGGAATTTTAGGTGCTTATTGGAGTTGGGAAGGTCAGGGGGCTGAGAGACAAGGTGGGTGGTAGGGTCCAAGTCACCCACATGGATGTTGACGTCATTGAGAGTGATGACGAAAGTTGGGGGTGGGAAGCAGAAGGGGGGGTGGGG